TAAAATGGAAACTTAAAAACTATAAGCCATCCAAGGAGCAATGAGCACCACGAACCAAGTCTTCATACCTGAAAAATGTCCCCACTACGTGGGTGAGTAACATAAAGCTACTCGTAGGAAGTGAGCATGCATCGACCTAACGTTTTACAAATTATCACCTTATAGTGAAACGTGTTAAAGGGCTCATGCCACCTAACGTCTACGTCAATGTGTGACTCGGGGAGCATCCTAAGCTACCTAAGATCATTTCTAGCATGAAACACACCATTCATGCAATTCAAGCAACATGGAAGCATGTTATACAAAGCAACAAGACATAGATTTTCAAAGTTATGAACTCGAAATCTAAAACATAAGAATTACCAAAATGGGTCATGCCACCTAACGTCTATATTCCAAATGAAATTATAGGATCATTCCTAAGCCATATTTGAACATCAAAACACGAATCATGATATCAATACACTTTAACCAACATTGAAACTTCCAATACAACGCATAAAGCATGATTTCACAAAGTTAACATCCTGCAACAAAATATGGAGAATCAAATAAGAAACAATAAGTTATAACATTATATAGTTATCAACTTGAAACGAAATGCGAAATCAACCAAAATGGATACTTGGATGTCACACCGAATCAGACTGACACCATAGATACTTTAGGGTTACTAGCCCACGGGTAACCTCCCTATGTGCGCACTAGACTATATAGAGGGACAATCCCCCGTACTAGAACCAAGTCCTAGCCGTAGCCAAACAACGACATCCCCAAGTTTCGAAAATCAACAAGTTGTGCAACAACGTATATATCAACATGTATATACAAGATATCAACTATCTACCAAGCATATCCAAATTTGGAAACATATACAATACATGCACAAATTCCACAACTACTATGGCATGAAAAATGTCCAATACAAAGAGTGTAATTTCTTACATAAGGCAACAATATATTCATTAAGGAAAACACATTCTCATTAATATTAATATAACAACTATGTTATCCAATGCTCAAAATATAACCAAGTGAATATACAACAAGTCCAAGTCCATGATTTAAACATAGAAACAACTTCCAAAACGTAATAAAATTCATGGAGCAAATATATAGAATTTAATTAAACAAAAATAATCAAATTCTCTAGATTCTAAATTAATTCCAAATAACCCCAAATTAATATATGTTGAAGGACATGTCATGGTCATCACATATATAACTCCAAACGACCAATTAAGTGATTAAAACACTTAAAACAAAATTAATTAAGCTAATTAATTAATTTTCTCTAAATTTTTAAACAATTCCAAATGCTCTCAATTTAAGATATGTTAGAGAACATGCCAAGGTCTATCTAAATATCACATTACAACTTGATTTCATGCTTGTTATGACCATGTGAATTAAACTTTCACTAAAGATAAATATTAAATAAAAGTTATAATTCTTAATGAAATGAGCTAAATTTAATATATGTTAACCAACATATCCAAGCATAATTTCCTAGCATGTTACAATTCAATTCCAAGTCATACATATCCTTGAGCATTAAATCCTTTACAAAGAAATTAATTAAAATTAAATTCCAAGATTTATACAAAATATGCATACAAGTTGTATAAGCATATATAATCATCAATACAACACAAATATAATCCTAAGACACCCCCTACCTCAATTTGAGATGAAAATCTCGAATGCCATCAAAATGAAACGGCTCCAAATCCGACGAAACTCCTAGGTTTTATCGGGGACAACACGATCTATATGAATCTCCAAGAAGCCCCATGAAAATCCAAACTTGGCCTAAATCCCAAACTCAAAATTTGGTCAGAAATGGTTTCTAATAAGGGGTAATGGTAGAGCACGACAAGGCGAGCAACAAATGCAAAAGCCGAAAGATTTTCACTTAGGAAAAGTAGGTTAAAGGAGGAGAGAAAAGATGGCAGCTCCATGGGCATCCATGGCTGCCTTTGGTCATGCAAGGAGAGGAGGAAGAAGAAGAAAATCTGATTTTTCTTCTTTAAGGTACCTATTTATAGTAAATCACAAAAAGTGCTCCGAAAAGGCCCCGCCGAGTCCGGAAAAGTGGATTTTGAGCAAACGCGCTCAAACGGAAAAACTCCGTGAACAAAAAAGATTCAAAATGAGAAAATATGAACAACGGAAGAAATGGCGTCGAAAATCGAGTCCCGAACAGAAAGTTATGCCCCGAACAAGTTCGGCGGTAACTGGATCTAGAAACTCCGAAACTGGAGAAAAACGAACAGAACTGAATTCTATGAATTTACGAGTCAACAAAAAGTGAAAATGAATACCATACAAGGATCCAGGCTCCAGACAAGACATTTTGCAATAACTTTCGTTAATTGCAAATGGCCCCTACAAAAAGGGTTAACTGCGAAACTGCCCCAGAATGAAAATATCTTCCAAAAGATATTTTCTTAGATGCCCCTGAAATAAAATATCTTCAAAAGATATTTATGAAAAACACCCCAAGAAATAAAATTAATTCCAAAGATTTATGCATCCATGCCCCTATGGGCACTGGGAGCAACCAGAGTACTTTCTTGCAAAAGTAAAGATACGTATTTCATGGAAACCACTCACGATAAGGATACGTGAAGTCAAAAACCAACTCCGAGCACAAGAAGTGAGGTTGTGCCAAAAACTGACAAACGGAGATAAGACGAAATAGGGAATATGACATAATAGGGAAAAGACGAAATAGCGCATAGTGTCCAAAAACGAAAAATGCGAAAATGATTCGATCCTCAAAGGAAGTTGTCAATTCACATGAAAGAGTCTCAAAAACCAATTCTGAGCACTCGAGATGACATTAAGCGACGAAAAACCATCCACAGAAAAGAAAAGACAACGGAAAAAAAATTATCCGAAAAATTTGAGAAAAAAAGGGGAAAGGAAGAAAATGACCGGGTCATTACAGAAGGTAATGATGCCAACCCTTGAGGATTCCATGGCCACTACTATGAGTGGTTAGATCCTACTCTTGGGGCTAGAGATAGCCCCTAGACTTGCTTCCTAAACCTAGTTTTTTGTATATTTTTGGGGATTTTAGTTGTAATTGATGTTTTGACCATGAATAAATATAGATCTTGTGATTTTTACATGATTTGTATGGATTAATGATTTCAATTGATCATTTAATTATATCCATATGTTTATATATGTTAAAATTAGTGTTTATGTGTTTATCTCTAAATTTTATGAAATTGTTGCATGTCTATGTGTGTTGATATTATAAATCTAATGATGGTAAAGGCATGGTGCTTAATTGATTACTCTTGTGGTTTATTTGATGGTTCATGCTTATTTCTTGATGGATTGTGCCACCTCCTAGTTTAATTAGTTTAATTTTCATGTGATTAGCATAGTTGTAGTATAATTGCTTTAATTTCTTAGATAGGTGGACAATCCATTCTTATTATTTGATATTCCATACTTATGAGTGCAAGTAGTACATTTCTCTAAATTTTTGTGTGTGCATTAATTGTGGTTTAATTAAATGGTTAATGCTCTCATTTGATAGGTTGTGATATTTACTAGATTGATTAGATAATCTATACTTATTTGTCATTCCTACTTAGTTTTCAATTAATGACACACACACACAGAATTTATAACATGAATTTCCCCATTAATTTACAATTATTAATGTTTGGTGAAGTAAAGTTTAGTGGTGAATTCTAAGTTCCAAGACCTTTCTCTCATTACTCTTTTCCCTAATTTCTAGATTGTTGTTAATTTACATTGTCTTAATTGAATCACTAGTTTAATTAACCAAACCAAACCCAACCCTTATTTGATCATTTGACCTACTAATCCAACATTAATTTTAGAGTACCTTAGGACGATCCTTACTCACCCTTACTATGTTAATAATTAGTAATAATAATGGTATTTTACAAATTTAAACTTGGTCACAGTTATCACAAATCTCAATTTTGGTGTGCAGGGCTTTAGTCACACCAATTGGCACCCATTTTTGCAAATAACGGGGTGACTACTTTGGTGATGATGTGGCAGCCACCGAGTGTGTAAATATTAAAACTACAGCCCTGTTTTGGTTCGGTGGAGATGCAGGCACATGATAATATTGGTGGAAGATGTTGAAGGGATAAAAACTATATCCATGTGATAAGGTTTTTTATTAGAATTCTTAATTAGTAAGCATTTATATAAAGTTATTCTTAATATTTTTCCTTACTTTGTAGATTAATGTGAGAATATAATTGTCAGACTCTTCAACAAATAAGCAGAATTACACGTGATTTATGAAACAGAGGATTATCACTTGGAGTAATTTTGAGAATTTAAATGTAATTCAATAAATCGGATATAGGAAGTAGTTTATTTTTTAACTTTTTATTTTTCTATAAATAATTTTAGAAGCAGATGCTGACATCCTTAGAATCCTTAATTGAATTAACCTTTCCTTTTAGTCATGCTTTCTTAGCTTAGTTAAACTACTATCTTTAATTAATTCCTAGTTAAATTCATTTTCCTTAGTTCCATTTACTTGCCGTAGTGATTCTTATTTTAATGTTAATTTCATCTCCAGTCCAGTAATATTAGTTTTTACTGTTATTTTATTTCCTTTCCTGATTACTAGTTTTAATCCAATTTTTATTTCAATTCAGTTTAATTTTCATTACAATTAGTTAATTGAACCCATTAAAGAAAGTTCATGCTCTCTCTCTTTACAATAAAAAACCGAACCACACTCATTTGATTTGACAATCGATTCAAACATAATCCATTTAACAAATCTTATAGGTCGAAGTAGTATATATATTCACATGATATGATTCAAATTGGGGTTTAGATATCAAATATTAACAATTAGTTTACAAATCTGGATAAAACTTCATTTTAACTAACGGGCTATGCGATATCGGCTTCTTACTTTATAAAGGGAAGTTAAGGGTTCAAGTTTATGAAGAAATGTACATGTGAGTACTAACTAGAAAAAAAAACTTCATTTTAGTTCTGAGCAGCTTATTTGATAGAAAACCATCACATAAACATGGCATTTGTCCATTACCAACATAATCAAATTACATAACAATACAACTTCAAAACCACCAAACATTCTATCGATACTATAAACATATAACCAGTATTTATTCTAGCTACTTCACTCGTTATGTAGAGATATATATGGCACACCATTAATATATATGAGGACAGCGTCTTGATTCCTGCTTCAAGGATGGGGAGGCTTCTCCAAGTCCTCGAGGGATCGAAAGAAGGCCTTTTGCTCCAACACCGAATCCTCGCCACCGTTTGCAGGCAAGGAGCGGAAGCCACCGCCTGCGGCGAGGTTATGCTCAGCAGTCGGGCCGAACACCCCGGTTTGTGGGTGTGGAGCCCAGTACTTGTCAGATTGAGAATGGATTACATGGTCTGGAACAACTGTTGGACGGACATGATCATCTGGGTTCTTATCATACACGGAGACATGAACAGACCTTCTGCATTGTCATGAACCATAAGTATACTCATTATCAGAATTGGTAGTAAAACTCAAATCAAATAATAAATTAATAAGTAATGATAGAGAGTACGAGAGTCGAATGCATCCGACTAAATTAATATAAGTAAGTGATAATGTTTCATGAAGGAGGGACTAGGAAGAAGTTTGACAACTTAGCATTTGGAGGAAATTTTTTAAAACTCAAACATTAATTTCCTACAATACCCTTGCTTTTTTAAGAATAGTGTCCCACCATGGTGGTGTTGTCACCTTTAACGTGTGTGTGTATTTAATAGGTAGAAACCAAATTAGGTTAATAGTGGTAGGTGAGGAGCATGGGGAGTGAAGTGGTTAGTTGTCACTAACATCAAAAGGATAATTAACTAGGTGTAGGCGTGGGATAACAGTCACGTGATTAGCACATCATTTTATCATAGAAGAGTTTATTCTACCGACCAAAAATATTCAATTATTAATGTTTTCCACACTCTTCATATATATATATATATATATATCAAAGTTGATGTGAACTTGGGTAGAAACTTGCTAAAAAGGATTAATATAATGTGAAGAAGGTAGTCACAGCTCCACCCTCCACCACTGACTTGGTCAAAGAAATACATCCGTACATCACAGCTAAAAGAATCTAAAGTTCTTTACCCAAAAAATCCTTAAAGAATTTAAGTTGACACCGCAGCATTAATATTCAATCGTGATAGTAGTTGTCACCTTAATTAGCCTAACCAACCATGATCCTAGGGTGATAGTCAAAAAGTCCGGTTCTTGGACGGGTTCAGTTTTTCTCACGTAAATAATTATGATGGAGAATGTAAAATTAATCAACAAAAGATAACCATAATACTATAAATAATTATAATCATGTTCTAGGTCTATAATTCATCTAAATTATATCTCCTTTGCATCGTGGGATGATAGGTTATACCTACTCGTATGAAAATGCACATTTTTTAAATGAAATGTGTGACTCGATTGAAATACAGCCACCCCTAAATAATCGAAACACACACACTGTTTGTTATTGAAGTCCTAGCCTACCACATGAAGATATAAACTCACAAAGTCACACCTCGAGCAAACTATTAGAAAGTTATCGCCCAAATTAGGCAGCATGAATTGAGAAAACATTGCAAATGACTTAGAAAGCCCTACACCTTGAGCAAACATTGCTGACCGTCATTTGGGGGCAATCGCCAACAGAATAAAGTCTTGATAATGTCACTATTTCATATTTGGATGCTTGAAGTGAAGGTTTTCTTAATTAGAAACCAAAAGATTCAGCCGTCTATTGTGGAACTGAAATTGGTTGAATATCATTCAAGGACAAACATGACTAAAAAAAAAATCATGATATCACTTTAAATTATGCAAGTCAATAATTCAGCAATTAATTTAGAAAATGTGGCATAGTCAAATATGAGACTAAGGCAAAACATTGAAAAATCATTATAAAAATAAAAACTTCACAACTAGAACATGACTGACACAAGCACTCACCTAAGTACTCTCTATCCCAAAAGACTTCGGAAATATAACTTCTTAAGAAGGTACCTTTTAGTGTTTTTTATTGTATTATTATTAAATTTATTCATCGTGAGTTTACTTATGTGATGATCTACATTTTATAAATTGAATGTGACTTTTCAAATGAAAATTTTATTTTGATTTAATAAAAAAAAATAGAAATATGAATATTTTTTTTTAGAATGGAGGAAGTAATAAATTAGCCAAATTGTGAAAAGACGAATTACTACTAGTATGCATTATATAAATTAGTAGTACTTCATCTGTAAAAATAAAAAATAAAAAATTATCATTTTTTGCGAATTGTGACTCAAAAAAATGTATTTTATTTTTGGGACCTATGGAAGTTCATCCGCACACTTATTCATGGTACTTTTAGGTGGACAAAGCACCTCATCTAAATAATCCGAAATTTAACCAAGGAGGCATATATATATATATATATATATATATATATATATGTATGTAGGGACCCTACAACAAATCGTTAATGATACTCAAATTGCCAAAAATATTATTAAAAAAATTGACAATTATAGTCGAATAGACAGCTCAAACCGGCTAAACAACATGGAAGAAATATAATATCTAGTAACTGTTATAACTTTTGAGTCATCTATTAACTGTTATAACTTTTGAGTCATTGATGATTTCAATAGATCAATTTGTCTTTTTCCACGGTAATTAATGACTTAATTACAGCATGAATAATTTTGTAATCCAACTCATTGTTTCTTTTGAGGCAGTAATTGGATTTAAAACAATTAAAGTACAAATGAAGATAAGAAAATCTGATAAAAATATTACAACGCCGCCATCAATACCTTTCACATGCACCTCCACAAAAGCATCGCTATCATGGTGTGGAGTGACCCAAAACTCCATAAACCAATGATCCATGCACCAGATGATGAAAAAGGAAAGAATATAAAATTTAGTTTTAAAAATTACTGAAACACCCCTGGACCAAAATCTGAGGACAAAATATTTATCCTTACAGTACGGCACGAATTCTTTAAGTCCAAAATACCCCTAACGGCACCAATACTTTGCCTGAATTATTTGACCCTAAGTCATACAATATATTTGTCCTCACAGTACGGCACGAATTCTCATGCGTTCATTTAAATTTTTACTATTTATAATTTAATTTTATCATTTTTATGCCACCACTCCGCATTTACTTTCTCAAAGACATTTATACTTAGATTTAACCAAAATAAATAAAAATATGAAAAGTATTTCATTATATATTTTTGGTAAATAATATCTTTAATTACTTACGAAAAAAAAAATAGTGATAATATGTTTAACATATTAGTAAGTAAAATCTTATAATATAGTTTTTTTTCTAGTGTTTGTTTCCTTGGAAAATATTTTTCTGCAGAAAATTTCAAAAGACCAGCAACACACAACCACCATATAAAATTCAATCTATGAAGTTTTCCCGAAACAACACATATATATAAATAAGTGCTATATAAACTCAAACAACACATGAGTTTTCGAGTTTCAAGGATCAGATGATTAAACAAACATGCAAATATTCTACACACAGCATAAAATTTAAGAGAGAAAAAAAAACACTCAATTAATGAAATATATATACCTGAGAGTGAGTGAAGGAGATTGGATTGGATCGCGAGTGACTCCGAGTCGGACCTGGTTAAAGAATCGCTTGCCCACCTTCACAATTCCCCGACTAGCCGAGTTGGCGGCCATACAATATATCACTATAGAGAGAAAGTAGAGAGAGAGAGGAAACACAGTACTTCACAAAATGAAAGATGCTATGAGTTTATTACATGTCCCCTTCTCTATTTATAGAGTTGGTCCGAATCCACACCGTACTACCAAGTACCAACTCCGTTCAAAACGGGCCGTCTATTTTGACGGTTGCTGTCACCAAAATTCCCTTCTATGCGAATTTAGATGGAATATTCTGAGCTTAATTTACACGGCGTTAGTGGACGGTTTGAGTCATACACTGCAAAAGATAAGAGCATTATTTCACCCTTTTTTATTTGATTTGACTCTTTCACCCGTTGAGTATGGAATTTACAATTGATCGGGGAAGGCTATTCTGGGTGCGGTCTAATCTGGGTTGTTTTGTTTATTATTGTGGGGTGCCACAATTAATTACGTAGAAAACATTGTTTAATTACGTAGAAAACAGATGGTATAAATTTGAAAAAGAGAAAAAAAAAAAAAAAAAAAAAAAAACCCAAAAGATCAGATGCTTTCACGCGTTTTGGATAAAGGAACGGAGGAGAAAGGAAGAAAATGCCGACTGAGTTATTGGATGTGCATTTTAGTGAAAGGGGGTATAATAAAAGGTCAAGGGCAAAAAAACGCCCTTCTAGTGTGTTTACACTGGATATTGCATTCTTCTAGTGTAAAAAATACCTCCTAAATTATGATATTTGTGCAAACAGGTCCAATTTATAAAACTTGGACTAAAAAGTCCTTAGCAACACATTTTATAAAATAAAATAAAATTATTTTGTGAAATTCGCCCTTCTTCTTCTTCATTGTTGCCGCCGCGGAGATGGAAGTGTCCATTAAAACCGGCGAGCTACAACGGTTTAATAGCAGGAAGATTCCTATAAATTCCTTAATTCCAAGTTTGCACCTGGGGAAAGAAAGGAGTGGTACTATTGCTCAAAATGAACACCGAATCCGATAAGAACCTCTCTAGGCTTGATCTTTCCGGCATCCTCGCTGCGGACGTGGGTCACCTCCGCTACCTCCTCAACCTTCTCCAGTCCACCGCTGCCCAAACATCATTGCCGAGTTCCTCCTTGTTCATCGACACTGTCAGCGACGGGCCAACCTCTGTCCTCAGTTGTCTTCTTCCTCAGATCGCAGACCCATGCCCTTACCGAAGTCAATCACGCTCCACGACAGCATCGTCGTCATGAATGCCATCTCGCCTCAGCTAATCTGGGTTAAAAACAATAAGATAATTTTTAGGAATAAAGAGCAAAATCGGGACTATGTATCATAAATAACTTATAACTTAGATTGTCCAAATATGGTCCTCATCAAGATAATGATTCATTTGAGTTTGAGTAGAAATAAATGATTATCCAATATAAAGAATTATGTTATCCAATATAATATTTATTTACACGTACCTCTGCTCAGATAATATCAGTTAAAGAAATTTACAATCTTGTTTAGAAAAAATGTACATGTATAACCCAAGGAAATAAAAACAACAACAACAATGACTTTGTTTTGTAATTGAAACACATTGTATAATTATATATACTCCTCTATAAGCTCCACCCAGAAACAGTTGTTGCATATTTCAGTCCCACCTTCAAAAGGTGAAAAATCAACCCCTCTAAGCTATACAAGGAAGAACATTTTCGTCTGTATGAGAGGAAGCCACCGTTGACATTTCACCAAAAACAATTATGTGGCACAGATTATGGCTTCAAATTAGCCAGCCTTTTTTGAAGTATTGCTCATATTTAATACAACACACGCACTCAAAATAAAGAGAAACTTTTCCAATGGCTGGAATGACGGGAAAGCCGTACCTGCTGCTTGACTCCAATTTCCCGCATCAGGTAGCAATTTCAGTTCTTGCCGTGAGCCCATCCCCATAGTGGAACCTCTCTCTGACCATCGTCTCAACTCACAGACAATTCTTTCTCGTCGGTTCAGCACCTCACAGGAATCCTGACCCTCGTCGTCGCACAAAGCTCGCTGCACCTCTCACCGGTTCCTTCCTTGGCCGCCTTGCCAACCCGCTGAACCATCCTCTGTTCTCATCGGTCTCTGTCGGCACCTCCTTTGGAGAAAGAAAAAGGGTTAAAAGAGAAAATGAGTGTAGGGGCATTTTTGGAAGAGTAAAAAGGTAAAATAGGGACTATATTAATTAAGGGGTGTTTTCACACAAATTGAAAAGAATAGGAATGATTTTTGCACACCTTTTTAAATAATGAGTCAAAGTGCTATGAAATGTATACTTCATGATGCTTTTTGCACTTACCCCTATAATAAAACCCTTTCGTCCATCAACTGTCCATACATTTGATCAGGGTAAGATAAAGAATAAATTCGGTGTGTTCCGTGCATCTTGCACCGGATCACCAGAGTCGTTCATTTTTGCACTTGTTAATCTACGCGTGTTGTGCATGAACCACGCAAATTTACGTGCACCCAAATATCTTCTCCTTCATATGGGCCCACTACTGCAAGTTTGAAACAATTATAAAGAGTGAGAAAAGGGAGATAGCTTTTAGTGAAACTCTAACAAAATTTTTGACCATTAATAAGTATAGAATATTCGGCAATTATATTTTAAATATATAAATTAAAATTTTACTAGTGCATATTGTGAGTTGTGCTATGTATGTGAAAGTTTGAGTGGAGGATGAATATATGGATTTGACTTACACCTCCTTCCCATTTTTAATTAATTCAAATTTTCTCCAAGTTTAAATTAAATCAAACACACAAGGTAATTAAATAAAGTGTGGGACTGACACAAGGATTTTAGCATAGAAACCTTTTATGTTGTTTCAAGCGAAACAACTCACTATCTCCAAGCGAAACAATCCACTATTTCCAAGCAAAGAACAATAGATTATGTCTCAGGCTCACACTCACTTCATTCTACCAAAAACTAATTGTTGAACACCTCAAGCTTGCGACTCCTCGTCCAACTGTTATTGATTTAAGGTTTATTCCTCGATCCTTGTAAAAGGGTTGCTACAAGAGCATGAATACTTCTCAAACACTCTATACCCTTCGTTGTATGATTGAATCCTCATTCCTCTAGATTATGAAGATAAAAGGAGAAAAATAAAACCTACTTTTGAACGGAATCAACTGAATCTTCAACAAGCCCTCAACCCTGATCAAATTGAGAACATCATTATAAGATCACTCATGTGCGATAACATGTGCTCTCAAATAAACAAAAATCTAGAAAATAATTAACGTGATTTTCTATGAATACTCTCAAACGGTTCTCCCAATTTCAAAAATAATATCAAAGCTTGTATATAATTAAGAGAGAAGATGGGTATTTATAGATGTTAAAGAGTCATTTTCAATGTTGAAAAATAAGTCAAACTTGTACAAGGTCACCTCTCTAAAATCTGATTAAAAAAGGTTGTGTTTATTTTACTAAAACGAAATTTTCTTTTTTTAGTCCGAACAAGTGTGACCAGCCGAATTTTTTCGGATTGCAATTCTATGTTATCTTACCTATGCTAGCCAAGTGCAACTAATCCGAAAAAGTGCAACTTGTCAGATTTGTCCATATTGCAATTTTTAATTTAAAACCCTAATTGCAATCATATCCAACCTAAAACATATATATGCAATGTGTCCTTGGTCAACATAACTTCTCTAAATGATATTCTCATCGAATCGAAGTGTGATTACTCATGGTTTCACTTGTACGTAGATCTACATCTAACATTAAGACTCAAAGATAAAGCAAAAATTACAACTCGATCGGACTCATTTTGAAACTGAATTTAGCCATTACAAAAATATGTATATCACAATCACCCACTTTGAAAAATTCGTGACATAACACCTAGGAGTGCAAATGAACTGAGCGAAGCTGAGCCGAGCCGAGCCTAGGGTTGCTCTGGTTAGGCTTGTCACTTCTAGAGAGGTGCTCGAGCTCGGGTGGGGCTCGGGTGAGCTTGGCATAGCCAAAATCGAGTTCAGCTTGATAAGTTTTGACAAGCTCAGGCTCGACTCCAACTCGGTTACATCACCACCGATCACTAAATCAAGAAAAATTCCATTGTCTCCTTCCGATCTCCATCTCCAACAAGATAAAGAACATGAAATACAAAATAAAATTCTGAGATGAAATCAAACTTACAATAAGGTTGTCGCACCGCAGTTTTTCCGCCACCCCATTCAGGCTGTATCTGTGATACCCCTCGATTCTAGAGCCACGGGTGATCAGGTCCGAGTACAGATCCGAGGGATACCAAACAATTAATATATAAATGAACACAGATTACAAAATAGTTTAAGAAATAAATATTAAAGCTGAAAAGAAAACTAAATAAAATCCTTACAATTTATAAATTAATATAAATTATTCCAAACTTCCAATATTTGTACAACTCGGGAATCCATCTTATGGACCCCTTAAAATCCAAACTGAACTAACCAACAGAAGACTAAATCCCAATCTAGAACATAAAATGAAATCCTACATTATCAGAGGAGTGAGTGTCTGGATCTGCTCTGCACGTCCAAGCTCTAGCCCTGGAATTGACGAACACCTGAAAAATAAGGGAGTGGGTCAGGCCCACTTGTCCTATTCTACTACGATCCAAGCAAAGACTCGATACGCATATACATTCTAACCAACTCAACAATAACTAATAGTCCGTACATATGTATAATCACACTATAGGACTCTCACTGGACTATGGAGAGGGTCTCAACCTGAATAGAAGGCAACATGCGAAAATGCACCCAAAGGTGGGCATGAGTACCTAGACCTAACAGGGTATACCTCAACCTCTCATATCCAACTACTCATCCCAATGCATATACGCTCCCTAACCGACGACTCTGAGACTCAAGTTCATATCGCGGTACCATAAAAATATATTTAAAGTCCGTGCCTAATCCATCCATAAGAAATCCAGTTAGTCGTTCAGCTTGTTCAGCTGCACAGACTCACATAGATACCAAGAAGTCCAGTTAGTCATTCAGCTTGTGCAGCTTCTTTGACTTAAGTATAAGTAGGATTTATTTTAAAAATCCATTCCCTTATTCCGTATAGGTAGGATGTAGTATTTTGAG